TTCTAGTTTAAGCTAATAAGGAACTTTTCATTGACCTAGATCAATGTAACATTAAGACTACATGGGAACTTTTTAACTTGGTCTACCTTTTCACACTGTTTACCACTGCAAGCAACATCTAACACTGGAGGATAGTGGTTAAGAATCAGACTTGAGTCATACCGCCTGGGTTCTAATACCAGTTCTACCGCTTGCTAGCTGTGGGACCTGAGGCAAATAGCCTCTTGTGCCTCAGAGATAATTGTAGCCTTAGGGTTGTTTTGGAGATTAAAATGAGTTGATAGCTAACACTTATCCCGTCCTACTCTAAGCACTTCACATGTATTGACTGACTTAAAACAGTGCCTAGTACCTTGTATATGTTATAGTAATATTTAATTTCCAGTCACTGCCCAGTTCAGAAGCTCCCCTGACTGGGATCCACACCTTGGCAACTGCTGGAGAGAAAAGGGGTCAGATCTGTTCTCACTATTTCTTCCTCCATACTCACTAGTCTGTGCTTGCTGATCCTTAATAGACTGAATTGTGTCACCCCAAAAAAGATATGTTGGAGTCTTAAGCCCCAGTAGAATGTGACCTTATTTGGAAATAAGGTCATTGCAGGTATAATTAATTAAGATGAAGTCAGACCGATCTAGGGTTGGTTCCTAATCCATTATAATGGGGAAGACGATGTGAAGAGACAGGGAGGAGATAGCATTCTACAAGCCCAGGAGAGAGGCCCAGAACAGGTCCCTCTCTCAGTTCTCAGCAAGAACCCTGCTGACACCTTATTTTGGACTTCTAGGCTCTAGAACCGTGAGACAATACGTTTCTGTTGTTCAAGCCACTCGGTTTGTGATACTTTGTTAGGGCAGCCCTAGCAAACTAATACACTCATGGAACAAGATAAAAAGTCCTTTTCATGACTATGGACATTGGCCGGGGGGAAAAAAAGAGTTGGGTGTTTTTATGACTTTTGCTGCAATGCTGTCAGGAATATAAAGTGGTTGGAGTCTGTGCCTGTGGCTAATCAGCAGGAGCGTTACTTCATGGAGACTTCAGCTTGTAGCAGCATTCTGGGCATAGGCATGTATAGTTCTATTTTTTTTTCTTTAATTGAAACCAAGCAGAGCAGATGTTGCAAATGTTGGCCATTCAGAAAGAAGATGATACTCCAGAGACCCTGCTCTTATCACTACACTTACAGAATAATCAGCTATTAACTCTACCATTTTATGGTGAAACACGTTCAGCACTTAGAACCAGAAGTTGTTCCAAAATATATTCTAATATATCCATTTTGACTTTCACAATACTCCTAGGAGGTAGGTGCCATGCCTTGCTGTATGAGTTTCCTAGATTTGCTGCTGTAACAAATCACCACAAACTCAGTGGCTGAAAACAACACAAATGTACTCTCTTCTGCAAGTCAGAAATCTGGATTAGATCTCACTGGACTAAAATCAAGATATAAGCAGGATTGTGTTTCTTCTGGAAGTTCAAGAGGGCAATTTGTTTCCTGGCCTTTACCAGTTTTTTTTTTTTTTTTAAAGGTTTTATTTATTTGAGAGAGCAAGAGAGAGAGCAGGTGGGGAGGGGCAGAGAGAGAGGTAGAAGCAGACTCACTGGTGACCAGGGAACCTGATGCAGGGCTCAGGCGTAGGGCTTGATCCCAGGACCCTGGAGATCATGACCTGAGCCAAAGGCAGACGCTTAACCGACTGAGCCACCCAGGCGCCCCCTTTTCCAGCCTCTTAAGGCCTCCTGCATTCCCTGGCTGGTGGCCCTATCCTCCATCTTCAAATCTCTCTCTGACCACCACTCTGCCCCTCTCTTCCACTTGGAGGTGCCCACCCGGAAAATCCAATCATCTCTGTATTTTAGAGTTAGCTGGTTGGCAACCTTAATTCCACCTGCAGTCTTAACTGCCCTTTGCCATGGAACCTAACACCCACAATTTCCAGGGAGAAGGATGTGGACATCTCTTCGGGGGCCACTCACTGTTCCGCCTTCCACACTTGCCCAAGAGCCCACACCTAGTAAGCGGAGTGCTGAGCCCGAGAAACTTATCGCTTAAACTGGAGGCAAAACTCATGTTGCTGGGAGACACTTTCCCTCAAAAATACTGGCATTGTTCTAGGGCGCTATGGAGCTACAGTTTTAAAACGCGCCCTTAGTAGGCCCGGCTACTCCGATAACAGCGCCTCTCGCCCAACCCGAGAACCTTCCTTCACCGGCAACCCGAGAGACGACCTGCCGGCCCGCCCGGCGGAAACGCGCTAGTCCGGGGACGCCGGGGTCGGCTCCGGTCGCCGGGGAAGCCGGTAAGCGGTCCTGCCGCCGGGCAGGGAGCCTCTGGAGGAAGGAACGCGGCCGATGGTGGAGGCCTGGGGCCTGGGGAGCGGGCGGCGCCCCCGCGCGGTGGGGGCGAGTGGGAGACCCGCTCTCGGCGCTCTCGGATCCCCGCCCCAGCTCCGCCCCGGGCCTGGGCCGCTCGCCCGCAGGTTCCCCCCCCGCCCCCGCCGCCTCTGTCGTCTCGGCGCCCGCCGCGGCGCCGGGTCCAGCGCTGGTGGCAGCCTGGGGGCGGCGCGGGGTCCCCGGCAGGAAGGATTTGCGCGCCGCTGGCCTCCCCCGTGGTGCGGTCCCCGCGTGCATGCCTTCTCAGCTTGAGCGCCAAGGTTTCTCCCCCGTGAGCCCACTTCTGGCCATTTCCAAATCATTTTACTCGTATTTGACTGGGAGGAGCATGCAAAGGGACTTCGTCAGACTCAGTATATACAGGTCTTTTACTGATCTTACGGCTGTCATATTGAGTAACGGGCAGATGTGGGCAGAAAGGACCAAATAAATACTGGTTTTCAGCTAAGAAAAGTCAGTGGTGGTTCTTGCTTATCGGTTACTGTCCATGACATAGAATAAAGACCCTGAAGAATAAAAGAACAGAAATATGGGAAAACTTGGCCTCCTTGTTTTTTGTATTTTGTTTTTTGTTTTTAAGATTTTATTTATTTGAGAGAGAGAGCAGGAGCAGGGGGAGCAGCAGAGGGAGAGGGAGAAGCAGACTCCCCGCGGAGCAGGGAGCCTGATGCGGGGCTCGATTCCAGGACCCTGGGATCATGACCTGAGCTGAGGGCGGATCCTGACCTGAGCTGAGAGCGGACGCTTAACCGACTGAGCCACACAGGCGCCCTTGGCCTCCTCGTTAAATCAGGTATTACCAAGGGCCACTAACTTTTTTCTTTCAGATCCCTAAATACACTGAAAGACCTGACTGATCTTGAAAAGAATTGTTTTTGAACACAATGCCTCTAATTTGGTTAATATGGAGAAATTAATTCTAAAGTTGCAGGGTGGTTCTATGACACATGAATACAAACGACATTTTTACAGGTTGCTGTAGTGTAGGTTTTAGTTTGTGATTTTTGCTTTACCTGCTGTGCTCTCTGTTCCTCATAATTCTTTGTGGTGTGATTAGAAAAAAAAACAAACACTACAAGTAGGCTTTCTGAAAATTAAGTTAATTCATTCCATTGTTTTTTTTTTTTTAATGCATCATGTTGCTAAGGTTTTAATAATAATAATGGCTACCATTTATCCAGGGCCTCCTCTGTACCAGGCAAAGTGTTAACCAATCCAGCTAGCTGCTTCATCTGGGAAATACGGAAAGGGAGACTGAAGTTCAAAGACTCTGCTTATCTCTTCTTAATCCCAGGCATCTCCAGCTCAACATGATCCTAAAAGGAACAAATGTCTGCCTTCACCATGCCATTCGGCACCCATGCCACACTCCCACTTGCCAGAAAAGTGAAACACACACACACACACACACACTCACAACCATTGTGCTTTTCCTTTTTCTCAGGGAATGGTATCATTCACCCAGTTTACACTGGAAACCTGGGAGGTCTACCTTTTCCCTTTCTCCCTCCTTGTCCCCCATAAATCTGTCACCAAAAATCTTGCCAATTCTTTCCACATATTTCCTTTCGTTTTCTTCGTCCCCATTGCCACCACCCCATTCCACTCCATCGCCATTTTCCCGCCTTTTCTGTTGTTGGAGTCCAATTTCAGCCCTCTTGTTCTCTCCTGTGTGCAGTCCATTTGCTCTGCAGCTAGAGTGAGTGATTTTTTTCTAATATGCTCTCTTGGTTAAAATCCTTCAGAGACAGCACATTAATTACCCCAAGGATAAAATCCAGCAACCCGAGCTTGGTTTACAGTGGCCTTCAGATAAGGCCCTGTCTGCCTCACCAGCCTGTGACAGTCCTCTTTCAATTCCTTGAACTGAACACAATCTCTTTTGCTCTTAAATAGGCCAGTCCCTCTGCCTACATCACCCTCCCTCCCTCCCCCCATTGCCTAGCCAACTTCCATTCATCCTTCAGGCTTCAGTTAAATATCATTTTCCCGACTCCTCTGGATATTTCTGCCATATGCCAGCATAGCTCTTTCTGTAAGACTCATCACCCTACATTTGTTGAGGTCTGAGGTCCCATCTGCTTTGGGGCAGGCATGCTAGCAGGGACCATGAGAGGTCAGAGTGCACTGCTATAAAACTGCCTCTAGCATTGACGTATACAAACCACCCTTGACCCTTGAACAACGCAGCTTTGAACTGCACGGGGCCACTTATATGCGGTTATTTTGATAAATGCAGTACAGTCTGTAAATGTATTTTGTATTCAGGATTGTAAAACCTGGCATGGGTGCTCAGGGTCTAGCTGTTCAGCCCATAAAGGAATAAATTGCTGTTGTCCTATCGTGGTGATTTTGAGCTACTTTGAATTCATTCTGCCTTTTGAAAATATATTTAATTGTCTGGGGCGCCTGGGTGGCTCAGTCGTTAAGCGTCTGCCTTCGGCTCAGGTCATGGTCCCAGGGTCCTGGGATCGAGCCCCGCATCG